CTGCTGAATAGTTGTCTGCGGTCCACCATCTGTATAATGGCGCGGTTGTACAATGCTACAACGCCAAAATGCAACTATTTTATAATTATAATTTTTTTCAGTAATACAGAATATTGATGATTTTCTGCATAAGTGTGGCAATTTCCATAACTAGCAAGTTTTGTACAGTCTAGACAAAGGTCACTGAGAGTTCATTGGTCTGTTGGTTTGCAAATAGAACACACATCACCTAAATCCATCGATGGTTAGCATTGCCAAGATAAACATTTTTATTTTGAATAAAAAAACAATTTTCATGTAATGGTTGAACTATGGAACTTACTTTTAGTATTTAGTACTTTAAGAGTGTATCATTCTAAACATATACCATAGACTCTCAAGTATCAGCTAGACCGGAATGGTCTACATAATTCCTCTCTTCGACATGGGTACCGCACCTATCCACTCAGAAGTGAACAAAAGTATTTTCACCGACTGACATTGTCAGCCCAATATCGAAGTAAATACACCCTCTAGGTTAATGCTGAGTTAAACACGTAACCACAGTCCCTCTAGAGGATAGAGGGACTGTGACGTAACATATATTGCATTGTTATAGCGTAATTACACATACCCGACATTCTCATATATTGTAATCTTATCGATTATTCAGAACATCATTTCATGTTTTAAGAAACCAAATGTTGTTTCTAGCTCTGGCGACTAAAAGTTGATGTGATATAGTAGACCACAGTCTCTATCCTCGGGGCGAACATACGGGCATTTTCACCGCCTGGCAACCCTCGCGGTGAAAACAAAGGCCAAAAACTCGCAGAAAACGGTACTTTGGGATAGTTGTTGAGACTCCCCTGGACAGTGTAACAAGATTATCCCTACGTGTGTAACATATATAAATTTACTTTTTCAGGATTACTTCAAAGTTGAGTTTGTGTTGTTTTCTCGAATTTTCACCGGCTCGACCGGCGTTCCACAGCAGCGCGCACAGAGCACATGGAAATGCATGTACAGTGGTGCGCGTCTTAGCAACGTGGAACGTCTTGTGACGTAGCTCCGCCCCGAGGATACCCTATTTAGACCAAGGGCGATAGGCAAGAGTGCCTGGGTTAATATAATACTAGACATAATACATGAATATTTTCTTCTTGGATAAAATAAGTTATTAGTTACATTCTAGAAATGATAAAACATTACTACGAGCATCACCGTCAGTGGTGACATGTTTTGACTCGAACTCGTACATGTATTGGTTTTGCGTCTTGCCTAGACTGGCGCAGTCGGGCGATTAATTTGTTTTTGTAGTTTAAATAAAATAAAAAAAATCGCGAAATGGAGGTGTTAGCGCGAAATCCCCTGAAAACGAAATTGTTCCTTTTGGATATTGGCCAAAACGAAAAATGGCCAGTGGTGGCGCTGTTCAATACTTCTCATAACTTACGGCTCGAAGGATACAATGCGTTTTATATCGAATGTGGAATCAAAAATAATATAAGCGAATGGTACAGCCAGAATTATGTACATATATAAGGTACATTTAGACATAGTTATTCCAAGCAAATGTATTCTATTGTCATTATTCAAATAAATCGTCAACATTTAAAAATTGTCATTAATCTCTAAGTTGGCTTATCTTACACTTTTGCCTACTGCCCTGGATTTGGACATACACCTTTTCAATAAATTGCGCCCTTTGCAATAAATTGCGACACGGCGTTTCCGGTATTTGTTTCACTGATGTCTTCAGAAAGCAAT